TAAACCCTAAACCTTAAACCGTGCCGAGGTCCCTGGGAGTGAAGCTGCCTCGTGCCGTCGGCGCCCCATCTTCCGCCAAAGTACGCAGCCAGCACGGGGGGGGGGGGTTCACGGTTTAGGGTTTAGGGCAGCGAGCGGTAAGAATGGGCGGAGGGCTCATTAAACTTCTGGACCTCAAGGGAGGCAGCGTACTGTAGTGGCAATCGCCGGTCAGTGCTCTCCATTTGGACTGGTCCTGATTGGTTGCCTGGCCTGCCGCGGCAGCTGCCCCACATTTCGTTCGAGATTTTCGGGCTGCGGAGCGGACAAGGAAACCGGGCATGATGACAACTATCTTTCTGTTTAGGCAGTGGAAAGAGATTTTCGGTGGCTACTGCTGCTGCTTCCATTCTGTTGCTTGAAGTGCTATCTTCCGTTGTTGCATTTGTCGTCAGTGTCGTCGTCGCTGCCGCTACTGCGCTTGCCGAGACTGCTGTTGCTGCTGTGGGTGCTACTGGCCCGCTGCGTTAGTTCGAGGGGTTCTTGCCAAGGTGAACCCCGTCCACCAGCACACCTTTGCCACCCTGTCCTTGGCGCTGGCGGGTGCCAGTCAGAACCACGGCATGCTGCAGTCCCTGCCGACACCTCAGAGTCATCCCCTCGCATGCTGTAAAGCTTCGCTTCTGGCAACATCAGGCGATGTCAGGTATCAGGTTCAGAAGCGGGGGGACGCTTCGTAGTTCGTGGGAGGCTCTTGCATTAGGCATGATGCAATCGTTTGGCCTCCAATATTCCCATGTCATCCGGAGCGAAAGGACAGGGCTTCATGGGTGGGGGCAGAATACCCTAAACCCCAAACCCTAGACCCTAAACTTTTGCTCTTTTGGGAGCTCCCGAAAAAGCCTTAAGGCTGCACATCTGCCGTCGCAGTCGCAAGGTGGGCGGGCCTCGGGTTCCCAAACAGACCGATCACCCTTTAAAGGATCCCTAAAGAAACCCCCAAAAGGATTCTTGTAAAGGAATCCCAGAAAAAAGGATTCCTTTAAAGGAATCCCCAAAGAAGGATTCCTTTAAAGCCTTTAAAGGCACCCTTTAAAGGAACCCTTCGAAGAAAACCAGTAAAGGAACCCTTTGCGTAAGGGTTGCTTGAAAGGGCTCTATGTGGAGGTTCCTTCAGGGTTGGGGTTCCTTCAAGGCTTCAAGGGTAGCTTGAAGGGTACGTTTAAGAGTTGCTTTGACTATGCAGTGTGCCGTAAGTTTTTTCGCGATCCCTCTAACACAGACGTAGGAATCTTTTTCTGTTAGAAGGACTACCCCGATTGTTACTTACAGGGTGTGCGGTCGCTTTGTTTCAGAGGTGTCGGGCTCTGGACGTTTTTGAGGGGTTAGGACGGTTGGGAGGTTTGTTCGGGACAGTTTTGGGCGCTTGCTTCCGCTGGGAAATTGTTGCAGAACCCTCTTGCAAGCCAGACAAGGCCCATGTAAACTGTCAGATGTTTAGGGATTGCACGAGGGTAGAGTTTAGGGGGTCTCATCTGCGGTGCTCCGCCTCGCAAGTAAGTAGTGCGTCTTGTCCGTTACTTCGAGTGCTTACTGGCATCCACTGTTCTAGAGTCCCAGAATGTCAATATTGTTGCTGTTCTGTTGTTGGAGAATCATCTGGAGCATGATGTCCTGTTGCGATTGCTATCGTGATGGCAACGCAGCGCACGATCAAGCCCTGACAGTCGTGGCGACAATGCATCGGATCATCTGCAGTATTCGGCGTTGGGTTGACAGATTTGTGGTTTGCGTCTTGGGGGTTGAGGGAATAGGGCTGCTTGATCGTAGGCACTGACCTAGATGGAACTTTGAAGTCGTACATGCAGCATATGTATCAGACATGAGGCGTCAGAATTGTCATAGCTCAATGTGTAAGTTGCTTAAAACAAGTTTGAGCAGTAGAGAAGTCTTGAGGCAACGAGTTGAGGGACATTTGTCGTTTAAGGCTTGGGGTTGAGGGGATTTTTGCTGGTTTTGCAGTGCGGGAGCCCACTTTCGAGGGCTACGGTGCTGCACGCCTCAGGCCTTAAATCCCAAACCCATAGCCACAAAAACATCACGCAGACGCCCTAAACCGAGAGCTGTGAAACTTTAAACCCTACATCCTCGATCTAAACAACCCCTGCAACCAAAACCCTAGAGCCCCCCCAACATGGAAATCTCAAAACACCGTTGGCCTAAACCTAAACCCTAAACCCTAAACCCTAAACCCTAAACCCTCAACCCTCAACCCTCAACCCTCAACCCTAAACCCAAAACCCTAAACCCTAAACCGAGCAGGTTTGCGAGTGCCTCCCACGGCTCGATCGGCCGCGGCGTGTGATCTTTGTCCGACAGTGGAAGGCGAAGCTCATCGCCATACACAGGACCGAAAACCCTCAACCCTAAACCCTAAACCCTAAACCCTAAAACCTAGACCGACAGTTGCGATATGATAGCAACACCCGCAACTACTTCGAGTACAACTGCTATCGTTGGCAATAGTGCTAGGTGCTGCTACCATTTGTAGAGCCTATTGCTAGTCCTATGGTTTTGCTCGTGCTGTTGCCAGGATTAGGAGTACTACTTAGATCTTGTGCTGTGAAACCTCTTGTTCTTGTTCCTTCCACCACAATTGCATTCTATTGCTGCTACCGTTGCTGCTTCGATGATGGCCATAACTGTTGTTACTGTTGTACTTACTGCCAACTGACTCATCATTGCTAGTCTTTCAGCGGCAAAACTCTGGATGACGACGAGTGGGTGATAACTCTGATGCTGAGCGAGAAACCCTAAACCCTAAACACCCCTAAACCCTAAACCCGAAACCCTAAACCCTAAACCCTAAACCCTGAACCCTAAACAAAGAGCCAACAAAGCTCTTCCAGGAAGCTCATGGTGCTGGCCCAGCAGCCGGAAATACAGATGGCCACAGCAGCCCGGGCCTTGACCTTTGGAGATGAGGGTTGAGGGTTTAGGGCAGGTTTTGTGGGGTTTTGTAGGGGTGGTGGGTTCAATGGGGTTTTGGTTTTGTTCAGTGTGGGTTTTATGGGGGTTGTGTTTTTTTTTTTTTTCCTCCCGGGGGTTCTGTAGGGTTTTGATGAGGGTTGTCAGAAGGGTTTTTGTACAGCATCCTAAAGGTCTAACAGGGCTGTTTGTCCAGGGGCCTGTAGCGTGTACGCGTTCTTACCAGGGTTCTGTCGGTGTTTGTGCATCTTCAATGGGTTTGAAGCGATTAGGGTTTAGGTTTTCAGGGTTTAGGGTTGAGGGGACTACGGGGTTCTGGGGCCTTCGGTTAGCACGTACTTTGTGTTTCATGTAGGGGCCTTTGGGGTGTAGGGTTGGCTCTAAGCAAACCCTCCTTCACTCGGGAAGATAGCTTAAACTTTTTTGGTGTATCCATCAGGGATGCTTGTAAGCTTAGTAAGGCTTAGTTAAGCGATGTTGATTTTCCGGGCAGAGGTTCAGGGGGTCCGCTTTGGTTTTCAGGCTTTGGAGGTTTCTGTGCATTTAGGTCATCGAGTTTTTCGGGTTTGCGCTTACTCCTGGTCCGACTCCTATTGCTCCTCCTCCTCCTCCTCCTACAACAACTGCTGCTACTGCTACTGGTACTGGTACTGCTACTGCTACTACTACTACTACTGCTGCTGCTGCTGCTACTACTACTACTACTACTACTACTACGACTCCCAACCGTTACGGCTGCCGGTAAGACCGCTGCCACCGTTGCCTACTGCAACTGCGACTGCTACCACTACCACAGCCAACACCACCTCCACCTCCACTCCCTCCTCCTTGTTTTTGGCGATGCGCACCCTGCAGGTAATATCGGTAGCAACACCATAGACATAGCAACCCCACGCCGTAAGCGCGCCCTAGCTCGAAGCCCTGAAACCGGGCGACTTCAAGCCCCGTGCTGGCGCTCGTGCCAGGAGAACAAGGACGCTGATGAAGCAGCGTTTGGCGTCGCCCCGGACGAAGAGGCGGGGAGGGGGCTTCGTGCTCTTCCAGAGCATGGCAGGGTTTGCTACCACCAAAGTGTTATGCCATTTTTTAGCATAGACAGAGCTTCGTCTTAAGCATTTGAACATGGTCCATCGGTTGCAATCTTCTAGAGTCTGTCGTCTCCTGGTGAGCTTGTCGTTCTTGAGGGCGTAAACAAATTGGCCCTGTCCAATCCCACGAAATCCTAAGCCTAAACCATAAACCCTAAACCCTAAACCCGGCCACTACACTTTAAAAAAAACCCTAAACCCGAAGCAGCGTCGAGGTTTCCTCAAATCTCAGAACCCCTGAAGGCTTAAAGCTTCTGCGGCAGCTGCGTGGTCCCGCAACTGTACTTGTCCATGGCATCATCCAATTATTTACAATAGACAATAGATGAAGTCCTCTTCTGTTAGCTCGCCGGCCTTGTTTGCTCTTGCTGTTGCTTCGGATGCTGTCACCACAGTTTTCCCTGCCAGTTCTGCTGCTACAAAACTCTTCATCCCTGAACGGATGCACCCTAATCCTGAACCCGAACACCCTCGAGTCTAAAGCATCTGACGCTTCAGGAAGTTCCGGTGCTCATGTCTGTTGGTGACGAGCACGGTGCCCGCCTCGGCGTTGAGTTGCACTTGCGGAGTTCCGGCAGCTAAACACTTGGCCCTAGTGCCCTAGTATTGTAGGGCCCTTAATAAAAATAATCGCATTTTGCGGGGGTGTTTTTTCTTTCATGTTCTATTACGGAGCTCTAGAACTAGTATTGCTTCGGATTGCTTCTGCAGTATTCTCAGTGCTTCGAAGCCCTGGCATCGCGGTTTTAAGGCTGCCCTTGAACCACAAGCTGTAGACCTGAACCCCAAACCTCAAGGGGGTTTAGGTTTTTCCGGCGCTCTGGATGGAGACGAGGATTGAGAGTTGAGGGCTCGAGGAGCTATTGGCAAGTGTAAGAGCCAAGGACGTTTCCAAGCATTTCAACTAACAACAGCTGTAACGGTTTAGGGTTTAGGGTTTTGGGGTTTAGGGTTTAGGGTTTAGGGGTTCAGGGTTTAGGGTTTAGGGTTTAGGGGTTTAGGGTTTAGGGTTTAGGGTTGAGGCACCAGAACCCCTCACCCTTGGGTGAAGCTGAAGGTGGCCTCTGCCCACATTTGGTCTTCTGCCCTGGCCTGGGAAACGACGAGGTTCAGGGCTCGGGGTTCTTCCAAACCTGGGAGCGGGGGGAGAGGGGGGTTCTAAAGTTGTTGTGGTTTCTGAAACGCACAGGGGTCCGTAGGGTTTGGGGTTTAAGGTTCCGGCGCTAGGGATGAGGGTTTAAGGGCTAGGGTTTAGGGTTTGGGAGCTAGGGTTTAGGGTTGGGTTCAAAATTTTCAACCTCGGCGTGGGGTTTGTAGTGAGTTAGATGGGTCTGAGGAGAGAGTTTCCACACCGTTTGAACTACGGGACTTGCCCAATCGGGCGTTGACTAAGTGACTACTGGGTTCTTGTTAAGGAGCTTGGTTTAAGTTAGCACACTAGGGTTCTACAGGAATTAAGATGGTTTCGCTACTATGATAACAAGAACCCACACGAGGGGATGAAGTGATTCTGCAGGTTGCCTCTTTGAGAATTGATCGCGCAAGACGGCGGGCGCCCCAACCAGTCCTCAAGAACTAGACGAATGGGGGTTCCGTAGAATTAGGGTTCAAGGACACTGTCATACTCTTTGAATAGAACCGTACCGGTGACTATTGAAGGATTTTACAAGACTCTCAAAATTAAGATCGGAACTCTGAACCCCATAGCCCACACCAGCCCCAAACACCCTGAACCCTAAACCCTAAACCCGAAAGTCTAAACCCTAGACCCTAAAACCTAAACCCTAAACACCCTGAGCCC